CTTGGCTGTTGTAATGGATGTCCGGTCTTGGATGGGCTTGGCTGTTGTAATGGATGTCCGGTCTTGGATGGGCTTGGCTGTTGTAATGGATGTCCAGTCTTGGATGGGCTTGGCTGTTGTAATGGATGTCCAGCCAGAAAGGCTTGAAAACACCTGCTGTCTAATGCAACGTTAGGGAAGCGTGGGGCTGTTCTTCAGGCAGGCATTGGGTCACCTCTGTGCTACAGGAGGTCCTCCCCTGCAGAGTTAGCAGATCTAGTTCTTAGAGGTTCAGCGAGCCCTGGGCCACCCTCTTGCTGACATGGCCGCTGGGCTTTTGCGGTGGAAGATGCATGGCCCACCTTGTCAGGACAGAAGGCGTGGTCCGCTGCCAGGCCCATTCTTTTCCTTAGCATTCCCCGGAAGCAGGGCTGGCACAAGGCTCATTGGAAGTCCTCAGATGACATTTTTCTTCTCTCTTCTTTATTTTTTATGGTGGTTTTGTTTGATTTTTGTGTCTTGATAATGGTTTTGCTGTGTAGACCAGGCTGGCCTTGAATTTAGTCCTCATTCCTCAGCTTCCCCAGCCTGGAGTGTAAGCATGTGCCACCACACCTGGCCTCAGGTCACATTTTAAACTCAAAGCAAAGCTTCTTTTGAGATGTAAGTTTTCCTGGGAAAGTTGTTGGCACTTTCAGGCCCACTCTTGTCTTTTTTATAGAAACTTATTTCTGTGGTGGCATATGTAACAACTGAGTACCGAGCCTTCCTTAGGATGACACACATGCCAAGCATTTGGTGTCCCCAAAATAAGTGGCTTCTGGTTCCAGAGGCAGTGAGTGGACCTAGGGTTGCTGGGAGTTCCTCCTGGGAAGGAGAGGGGGTTGGAGGGGGAGTACTCAATGACACTTGTTGAAGATCAGAAAGACCAGATTTTGTGTGATGGTATTCACCTATAAGCCAGCACTTGGTGTGCTTAGGCAGAAGGGTCAAGCATTCAGAGTGTGGACTGTGTAGTGAGACCCTGTGTCAAACAAAAGCAAGAAGAAGGGTTATTCAAGACCACTGGGGTATGTACAGAGACCACTGCGGTGATACATTGCCATGTGGGGGAGAGATTGGGTTCAATTCCCAATACACAGGGGGTATTGGGCACACAAGATGGGGACCCGTGGGTGGGAAACTACTGTGCAGAAATATGATGGGTCAGAGATTCTAGTGGGAAAAAAAATAGGCCTCAGACTTAGCAGAGGTGATGACCAGACATCCTGTGAAGAGGGTAGAGGGAAGGGGCCTGCTGGGTACTGAGGAGACAAGACATGGGGGTGGCAGGTGTGGCTCTTCGTTAGCACTGGCAAGTGTACACCTGCTCTGCAATGAGAGGCCCAGGAGCTGGCACCAGCTTGTCAAACAGTCTTCATTAGTATCTACTGTGTTTCTAGAGACTTCCTGTAATGTGTTTAAATGTAAAAGGTTGAAATCTTACTATTTTTTATTCTTAGCTGAACTTCAGTCATTATCTATTCCTGGAACATACCAAGAGAAGATAACTCACTTAGGAAATTCTCTGATGCATTTGACAGGTCTAAAATCCTTAGATCTCTCAAGAAACTCATTGGTTAGCCTCGAGGTGAGTTTATCAGTGTGAGTGGAAAATATGGATGTAACACTAATAAACGGTGCACTTATAGTGATTCTAAGTGTTGTTACCATGTTTACTGTCAACTAGATTGTAGTCAAAGACATAGCTTTCTGAAAAAGGTGAAATACCTTTAAAGGAATTAAACAAGATCCCAAATCCTGACATGTACATGCCACCCTACCCACTCCCTATCTCTGCATTTTTTCTTTTTTTGGGGGGGGGAGGGTCCGGTCGTGGGGCCTGAACTCTGGGCCTGGGCCCTGTCCCTCAGCTCTTCAGCTCAAGGCAAGCGCTCTACCACTGAGCCACCTTCCCAGCCCCATTTTTCTTTTTCTTTATGATCACTTAGGACCTGACTTTGGCCTCCTGCCCTAAATAGCAAGGAGTGAGCTTGGGGCTTGTTGCAGCCTGGGCAGCGAGCAGGTGCCTAGTCGTGGGTTAGGGCAGAGCACCTGCCTGGCAGCCGCAAGGCCCTGAGTTCAAATTCAAAAGAAAAGTCACCAGTAACCATACACAGTGAAGGTTTCATGAGTAAGCCCTGCTGTGGGAGAATGTCACAGAGGTTCGAGTGAGAGTTTCTAGCCTGGACAGAAATGCAAGATCCTACTGCTTCACAGCTTCAGAACCTAGCTCAGCAGACGCAGCTCTTCAGCTCCCAGCATCTCCCAAGCAACAATAAAAATGGAGCAGTATTTTGACCCTGACAGATTGTGTGCAGTGAAATTGTTTAAAGCATGTTCCTTGGTGCATACTGGGCACTTAGGAGAAAGTAGTCATATTTAAAGTACCGCTAGGACTGGCACTCCTGTATTCAGAATAACCACATCGTTGCTTTTTAGTGAAAAACAGAACTTCATAGATGAGAATATGCTCCATTTTTATGTTTCTGATGCCAGCATGTATTTGTTACAAGTGTGTTTAGGTTGGTCCACCCCTACTAATGGTTTACTTTGCAGTGTGAACTGATTTGTATCTTTTCTGATTAACAGGGCATTCAGTACCTGATCTCCCTAGAGAGCCTCAATCTCTATTACAACTGTATTTCCTCGCTAGCAGAGGTATTCCGGCTCCACTCCTTAGCTGAACTCCAGGATGTGGACTTCCGGCTGAACCCTGTCGTGAAAAACGAGTCTGACTACCGCCTGTTTGTTGTCCATATGCTCCCCAAGCTCCAACAGCTGGGTAGGCTGGGCTGTAGGGTGTGGGTCATGCTGTTGTCTTTGTAGAGGGACTTGATTCTTTCGTGTTGATGGCCCACGTCCTTGCGGAGATGCAGCCGAGGGTCTCGTGGAAGAGCCGCCTGAAGGGCTCGGGGGCCTGCCAGACAGTGATGGGGCAGTGCCTGTCAGGGTCAGAGACTCATAAATACTTCCTGACATTTTTGTTTTAATTGAAACCAGGCTTCCTCCTCATATTGTTTATTCTTCTGAACCCAGAACATGATCAAAAGTAAAAGAAGCTGGGTGCTGGTGGCTCACGCCTGTAATCCTAGCTCCTCAGGAAGCTGAGCTCAGAGGATCAAAATTAGAAGCCAGCCTATGCAGAAAGTCCATGAGATTCTTAACTCCTGTTAGCTACCAGAAAAGCCAGAAGTGGAGCTGTGGCTCAAGGGGAAGAGTGCTTGCCTTGAGCACAAAAGAGCTCAGAGACAGCACCTAGGCCCTGAGTCCAGGTCCCAGATCCTACACAGAAAAAAATGAAAAAGAATCAGCAGAAGGGGGAGTATTTTTCACTCACAGCAAATGTCCTGACTAAGTGTGACGTCTACAGACGTGGGTGTCATCCCTGTTCCTTTGGAGAGTTAGCAGCAAGAAGAGGCTGTGCGGCTGAGTGTATGAAAGTTTGTTGGCGCTTGTCAGTATACAGACAGTCGTAATCCTAGTTTACCCCTTGGCTTCATCTCTGATGTCCACACAGCAGGCTGCACACTGGCCCAGGAGGCAGGCACTGTCAGCCTGCTGCCCAGGGTCTTTGTCTCAGTGAGAGACGGTGCTGGTACTGGTCTAGATGGCCAGGCCATCATGTCATCATCACAGTGTAGATCCAAAGCTGGCCAGGGTCTCTCGACTCCATATCCTGAGTCTGTTGTGATGAAAGTCTCAGCAGCAGTTAGGTGACGGGCTTCTGGGGGCAAGGCTGCATTGTGTGAGGAGCAAGTAGGCTGGGTTCAGAGAACACTGTTTACTTCAAACTCTGCTTGGAATCTCCATGTTTAATTTGATACTTAGGACATGTGCTTGCATTCTCGTTTCTACTTGACTGTTAAATCAGGTAACTTATAAACAGATGAATTTGAATCTTTCTAAAAGCACTATACTCAAGGGCATTTTAAAGCATCTTCCCATTGCCATAAAAATTTTAGATTCAGAATCTTAAGATTTTATATAGAGAAGAAATTGGACTTACCACATGTCCAGGGTATTTCCAGACACAATAAAGGAACAATATGGCAATCAAAGTCATTGGAAGAATCTTGCCCAAAGCCTCCTAGGTCTCCGTCCATCCTGTGTGGGCCTGAGGCATATTGGTTCTGGTTGTGGATGGGTAGTTGAGGGGTGCACGGGGGATGGGATGGTCATGGGGTCTGTGGAAGGAAGCAGTGCGGCCATCAGGAGTAGAGGTGGAGTAAGGCACCAAAGTCAGCCCCAGTTCCTGCCCAGGCCCTACCCCAAGGGGGTATGTCAGCTGGTAGGGTGTGCCCCTAGTGCAGAGAAGGTCCTGCCACTCAATGAGAGGGCAGAGGTGGAGATGGAGATCTGAGAATGGAGAGGGCGGGATTAGGAAAACAGGAGCCATGAGTGCTGGTTCCCTGGACATCAGTGCAGAAGGAAGAGAACTCTGGCTTGGCATTCACCTGAGTCAAAATACTTGGTTTCTGCTTTGACAATTATTGCAGTATTACTATTGCTATGATTTTTCAGTGAGTGTCATAGAGGAGTGATCTTTGGATGTAGTAGAGGACCTTAAGGACAACTATAATTCTGTAGGAAATCATGTGACGTTTCAAGGTCATGACCTCATCCTCTGTATGTGTGTCAGGAGATCCTGAGAGCTCTTGGTAGAGTCTTTTCTGAGGGCCATGGGACTTGTCTGTCTAGTGATCCAGACTTTTCTAAGGACACACTCAAAAGCCAGTTCATCCTGTTCCCCACACAGTTTTTTTTGCCAGTCCTGGGTCTTGAGCCCTGGGCTCTGTCCCTGTGCCTTTGTGCTCAAGGCAAGTGCTCTACCACTTGAGCCACAGCTCTGCTCCCAGCTTTTTGAGGTTAATTGGAGAGAAGAGTCTCAAACTTCCCTGCCTTGGCTGGCTTCGAACCACAGTCCTTGGGCCTGAGCCTCCTGAGTAAGTGGGATTACAGGTGGGAGCCACTGTCATCCAGCCATACAAACTTCCTAGTGTGCATGTGGTAGGTCTGCCCCGGCATCTGGTGTGCACGTTGGAGAAGGACATGTGTATGCACGCACCTCACGAGGGCACTGCTTTTCCCACAGTCAGCAGCCTTTGCCCGCAGCACCTTCTGAGCCGTGAGTTGTATCGGAGTAGGCTTGACCTCCTACAGTGCACTTGGCGGTGCCCCTAATGCCGGCAGCTCTAGAATAGGTCTGCAGGGCGGGGCTGAGCCTTTCTGCCCTGAGCTTCAGGGTGCAGGCCTTTCACCCACCTCCGCTGTTCTCCCTAGATGACCGTCCCGTGAGAGAGAGTGAACGGAAAGCTTCACGACTGCATTTTGCGCCAGAGGACTTGCCCCATTCAAAGGAAAGCTTTGCGGCCACAGTGGGAAGGTACGAAGATGTCGCTGTGCCCAGATGGTTTTCAGACTTAACCTTTTGACCGCTTTGTTTGCTCCTCTGTAAGAAGCAGGCTTTTACCATGAGACTTCAGCAGTTCAGTCATACCTGCAGATTCCACTCTGATTCCGGATCTACCGCCTCTGCAGTGACCCCTGACTGGAGTCCTAAACTCCTCACAGTTCTCCATGAGGGTTGGGATCAACATCTTCCATACTTCTTTTAGCATTGATATGTTTACTGACTTCATGAATGACATGTTTTCCTGTGAGCGTATGTCCATGTGTCTTTGTATGTGTGTTTTGTACAAGGGCATGAACTCATGAACTCAGGACCTCATACTCTCACTTGACTTTTTGAGTCAAGGCTGGTGCTCTACTACTTGAACTGCATCTCCACTTCTGGGTTTTTGCTGGTCGATTGGAGATAAGAAAGTCATAGACTTTTCTGCCTAGGCTGGGTTTGAACTGCAATCCTCAGATCTTAGACTCTTAAGTAGCTAGGATTATAGGCATGAGACACACCAGCTCCTGGCTCACATGTAGTCTTAATGGGGATTTCTTTCCAGAAGGCTTTCAATTTTTTTCCCCCAAGATCCATCCAAGAAATCACTATTTGTGGCAGCTCTATCCTTATAAAATGTATTTTGTACTCCTTGATGTAGGGCTTCAGAATGGATATCTCATGGTATCTTACCAGCGTTTGTGGGTGGCTGTGTGCACTGTCGATGAGTGTATTTTGAAAGGAGTCTTTTTTCTGAGCAACAGTGGTTCTCGACAATGGGCTTAAAATATTGAGTAAACCCTATTGTGAACGGGAGTGGCCACCCAGGGTGTGTTGTCACATTTTGGAGCACAGGCAGAGGATAACTACACTCCTTAGTGATAAATGAGCATTTATTCCATCCTCAGTCACCAACTGCAGGGGCCTCTGATGAGAGGCTCCGATGGTCCTTTGCTTCGAAGCCAGATGCTGTGGTTTGCTTCTGGAAGCGTGTGTGTTGAAATGACACTGCTGAGACGTGGTAGGGCTTTGTTGGAAAGGGTTAGGGCACTGGAGTCTGCACTTAGGGGAACTGTCCTTCCTTTCTGGCCACCGTGAGGGGAGTAGTTTCCTCTGCTGTGTGCGCTCACCACAGGCTCAATGCAACAGTGGCAAGTGACCATGAACTGAAACCCTGAGCCAATATAAACCTTTCCTTCTCTTAGACTGATTGTTCTCAGGCTTTCTTTATAGTAATGGAAAGTCCTAGCGCACTCCTTCCAATAGAAGACTGTCTGGTCTGCATTGAAAGTCTGAGGGTAATGAAGGCACCTTCCTTCCTACCTTAGCTGCGTCTCTTGGGTGGCTGACTGCAGCCCGGGTCAGGACCCGTTGCTTCATCTCTACTCTTACGTTTCTGAACTGTAAGGAAACCTCTCCCAGATCCAACCTTGTCTTCTGTAGCTTCTTTCCTTGCCTCTTCCAGTTTTCTTAGAATTGTAGGGAGTCAGGGTCTTTCATTGAATAACCTTGGCTTAAGAGAAGGTAGTAGGCTGGGTGCCAGTGGCTCATGCCTATAATTCTAGCTACTCAAGAGGCTGAGATCTAAGGATTGTATTCAAAGCCAGCCCAGGCAGGAAAGTCCATGAGATTCATTTCCAGTTAACCACCAGAAAGCCTGAAGTGGTGCTGTGGTTCAAGTGGTAGCTTTGGGCTGAAGAGCTCAGAGACAGCATCCAGGCCCAGAGTCCAAGCCCCATGATGCTGGAGGGGGGGGGGAGGAGAGAGAGAGAGAGAGAGAGAGGAGAAAATCTGGTTTTATCTTCTGTCTAAACTATTAAAATTTCTCCACTTCTACATTGAGTCTGTCTTGCTAGGAATCATTTATGTGTTCACTGGAGTAGTATTGTGTGTTCACTTTTCAGTAACTTTTTCTTTGGTTTCACATGTTGGCTGTCCCATGAAAGAGGCTTAATTTTCACCTTATCTTGGCTTTCAACATATCTTTCTTCTAAACTTAGCCATTCCAGCTCTTGACTTAGAAATATGTGAGTCTTCTGTTCACTTGGATACTTTGGGGACAGCACAGGATATTAGCTGGTCAAATAGCCTCAAAGAGAAGAGAGATGGGAGAGACACTGGTGAATGCAGCAACTGGAACACACTGATTTATGGATTTCGTGTGCCAACTTGGTTTTTATGCTCAAAATATTACAACAGTAACATCGAAGTTCATTGACATCACCATAACATGCATAAGAATAATGGAAGGGCTTGAAACTGTGTGAAAAGTATCAAAATTTGGACCAGATACACAAAGGGAACCCAGTGGATTTGCTCACGGTTTGCTCATCTATTTATCTGCCCTAGTCTCAGCCATGGCTTCTACTGCGTCCCTGTGCCCCCGCCCTACCTTCTGGGGCTCTGTGCAGGGTACCCAAGTTTGAGTCTACCCGGTGGCCTCCTGAGCTGTGGAAATGGATCACCTCCCTCTGTTCTGTTTTCTTTCTGCCACTTAGAGAGTGGCAGCCCACCAGGCCTGCCATGCATTGGGTGTCAACACTTCTAGAAATTTCACTTGAGTTGAACTTTAATTCCAAAACGAGCTTGGTTATCTCATCGGTTTTACTCATGGTTGACTCTCTATTTCATGAGCGACTGGTTCTTCTATTTTCTTTTGGTTCTTTGTCATGGCTTCCTGTACCTTGCTGAGGATATTTAAAGTGGCTGTTGAAATTTTCTCTTTCTAGAAAGTCCCTAACATCTGTACTTCCTAGTCATGATCTCTTTTGTTTGTTTGTATACAGTCTGTACTTGTTTTTTGTACCCCTCCCACTTTTTATATAACTAGGCATTTTTTAAGCGTATTTTTTTATTGTGAAAATACTGTACAGAGGGGTTACAATTACATGGGCAAGATAATGAGTACATTTCTTATCAAGCATTGTAGCCTCC